ATTCGGGGTGCGACCAGAGTCACGGAACGAATTAAATTCGTAACCCAAGGTTCCACTGTATAATGTATTGATATACATTATTTTTTTAAGAAATGGTTTATAACATTAAAATCCATTGCACAAAAATGTCACCTTGTTTCTGGTAATTTGATAATTAAGACTATTAATAGAGTCTGCAATCTTTAAAGGTTAAGCTTATGGTGCTTTAATGGTTATCATAGCCACTATTGGTGGAAACTGTTGCAAAATCTTGTTCTCTGATACTAGTTAATAATAACTTCAGAGGTGACAGAGGTGGTTAAAGATGCCTGGGTATGGAAGCTAAGCAGCATTTGGTCTGGTTAGCATGTACATGGGGGACTACCACAAATACCAGATCTGTACTCTAGAAAGTTGAAAAATATCCCAGAAAGTACTGGTAGAATACAGTACTTCTATATTGTTGCCAAAAAATTTGCATAGATGTGCCTGTGAAGTCACCGGGAAATGAGCTCAATTCAAAGCAGATGCTTACCTAATTAGTATATTTAAAAAAAATTATAATTGTCTATAAATAGTAGTGGCAGGTCAGTTACTTCACTTTTTAATTGTAAATAGTTATTGTTCATTAACACAATTTATAGTCACCTTTGCAAGAAATCTTCATCACTAGCACTAGATGTGTTGCTATTATATGTTTCTTTGGATGTTTAATATTTGTTTTTTATTGTTCTAAGAAGGGTGAAAGGACTATAGGGGTGATGCTATGAAGTCACTCAAAGGAGTGGAGTCAAAGTTTTTAAGTTGTCTCTTATAGCAAATTACAATATTGCTTTTATGCAAAGCACTACTTATTTAGTACTAGCAGTATATGTATAGAATTTTTTCTTCATTGGTTTACTCCAGATCTTGGACAATATAGGCCTGCTTTCCCAAGTTCTGTTTTGAAATTTTTCTTTAGCACTTACCTTATGTTTTGCTATACATATATGTTTGAGAAAAGAATGGTGATTGTGGTAGTCACCATAAAGAAGTTGACAGCAATAGGGCAAATTAATGATTTTTTTTTTTTTTGGTCAGGTTCTTGAAAATTAGGATAGGCTACAAAAAGATGATTTAATAAAGGTTGGCAAAGAATCCTCCTATCGGAACAGATGTTTGCATCCCTTTCGTTCTTTTCTGTTTCATCCCATTGTTTGTCTCAGCAGGTGGCAGCACGTGGCTGAACTTGTCTGGGCTTGGAAGCTCAACAGCCAGGCAAATGCTTGAAGAGAGGACTACCAGGGAATCCCACAAATGCAGGCTAGACTTGGCAGTTGAAAAAGGTCCTGAATGAAGGTAAATGGGTGGTTCCATGAAATGACCAGAATTTAACTTGATTCAAAGGAGACTTTACCTACACTGTTTACACTTACTTTGTTCCCCTTTTAGCTCCTAAACCCCTCCCAGTTTGTCCCTGGCTCAACCTCCAGCCCAGTGTTTTTGGAAGCTTTACAAAGGCAGGCTTTTCCAACTTTTGAAAAAGTAAAAAATGGAGGCTAGCTTGGAAGTAAGAGGAGGAATGGGAAGGCCAAGCTGTTTTTCTCTATCTGGGAACAGAGAACTGTCTCTCATCAATTAACATCATAGAATATATTTTTCATCCACATTCTAGTCTAGTTTGAACTTGCACTGAAGAACCGAACCATTTAAACATATTTATCTTCCAATAAAACGGAAACCTAGTTTCATTCAATGAAGCGTCCTTTGCAAGGAATGACTAAAATAAAAGATGGAATCTGTCTCACTAGGAGGATTGGAAGATCATTCCAAGTTATGAGGGATAGCTTTTAATTTGTATGTATGTACAATCTATAAATAATTTATTTTCAAATGTTTTAAAAAACAGACCAAACCAAACTACCCAGCAGTTGATTCATGGTGACTTCACTTGCATCTAAGCAGAAGTGACTAGTTCTGCACGTGGATCTTTTTGCTACATTGTTCATCTTTTTGTTTATTCTTATAAAGCACAAGTTTTAATTTACACAGTGTATGTGCAAATATGTTGAAATTATCAATCAACTATTATAAATACATCAAAAACCATACTTTATTTTATGTATAGCAATACAATTTACATATTAAATAACACTATAATAGAATGATTTGATATACTTTTAAACATAACAAAATGGAAATTCTTCAAGTTACAAAAAAGAAAAAAAAAGTAAGAACTCCCCTAAAACCAAATACCACATTTTCCCAATGGGTCAAAGAGATAAACTTATCCAGTGACTGGTTAAGTCTAATTCCTATTGCACACACTGACAATGGAAATTAAAGAAAATCCAGCATCAACAATCACTGTTCCAAAGAAATAACATGTGTTGAATCATTTTTGGAATGTGATGGCATTTCACTACTTCAGTACACATAAAATATGTTGTCACATATCCACCACAAAAGGGAAAAAAAAATGAAGTTGAAACTAGAAAAAAATTAGCTTTATATGAAAATATAAAATTCTATGATTATATACCATAGATACAAAGTTCCCAGAAGATGCTTATTCAAGCAACAAAATATTTACAGTTGTAATGATTTTTGTTATTTAAAAATGGATGAAATGAAAAGAATGGCTAGAGATGAACACTTAGTTCTTTAGAAACAATGGCTGCTTGCTAGTTTCAAAGGTTGAACCAAAAAAAAAAAAAAAAAGAAAGTCACTACCCCAAATGTTGGAGAGTTGTGACGTTTTATAAAATTGATTGATTATCTCCTCTTCTGGAGACATGTTTATTCTTAAAACTCAAGACATTTTTTCTTGAAATTAATTATCCTCTGTAGAA